AAAAAAAAAAAAAAAAAAAAAAAATGGTTTATGCTTTCTGCTGGGACAGTCAGCGACTTGAAAGCCATTTTTACCACAAACCATGACTCTTGCGCCTGCAGATGCCCAATAGGTAAGGAAAAGCGGAGCAAAGCTTGACCATTTTTTGTTCTTTGTTACTGTAAATCTTTGGTCAGGTCTCTTCTCAGCTGCACGTAGGGGCGTGCTGATCATTAAGGGAGTGTCTGGCCAGGAGCTGGCCAAATAGTGATCATCCTGAATTTGCGTGATCTCATACTCCTTTAAGACTGAGGACACCAAGATAAGAGGTTTACAAGGACGTTCAGCTATACTCAGAAGTTTCTAGTTGTTGTCCTAAACCTGTGATCACTTGCATTCCAGCCAAGGCAGAGTCTGGTACGACTGAGACCACCACAGACAGAAACAGTCCACTCCTGGAAATGGAACCATGACTCAGCCGTGAGGATTCCAGAGCTGTGACACCAGGCCTGAGAATATGATCAACCGGACAGCAGCCAGCCAGCTAATCCTTGAGAACTGGCCTCCAGCCTTTGTGGGTGGGCCAGCCAAACCCCTGTATCAGAATGTGCCCTCTCCGGCTACCCGAGCAGGAGCCTTTCCTATCTTCCCTTTCACTTTCCAATTAAAGCTCTTTTCCTGCACACTCTTACCAGGAAGCTCCCAGCAGGTGCAGCCTCATGAGCTACCCGTAGTAGCTTCAGAGTATAATCAGCATCCTAGCCCACGGGGGCGGTCATAATATCACGCTCCACCATGCCAATAGGTTTTCCAGTGTCTCTGAAACCTGGGACATTTCTCACCGACACAGGAGGGAAGCCAAGACTGTGAGGGTGGGTTAGGATGGAGTCCTTTTCTTACTGCTTGTTTGTGGGAAGGGAAAGCAAAGAAGAGTGGGGTTATAGGAAGTAATAAAAAAACCTTAGGGGCAGCTGAAAACACCCACACAATGAATTTCTGGCCTTCATGTTTTAGAGATGGGACTCTAGGGCCCAGAAAAAGAACATGCATTGTATAAGATCCTATAGTGAGTGGCTGGCTGGCTGGAAGCTGTTTCAGGCCAGGGGTGTCTGCCTTCAAGACCTGCATGGTTCCCCAAACTCCCCACCAGACGGCTCACTGAACACCGCGTAGCACAGGAGAGCCGCTGTGGTCTACCGGTTACCCACCAGGTGACAGGTGACGTTGGGTGGAATTCATTTCAGAAAGCAGAGGCAGGTGTTACCTCCCGATATTGGGAGTACTTTTACTTGGGATGCTTTTTATTTTCTTCTTTACACTTTCCAGGGTTTTCTAAAAATTTTACGACACATATCTATAATTCTATAATCTGCTCTCCAACGTTAGTTTTTTTGTTTTTTTTTTTTTGTCATTTAAAATTTTTTCCCCACCTTAGTTTTGAAAAGAAAGAAATTGGAGAGCAGGGAAATGCCTGGCTCTGTACTGAGATCCATTAAGCAAGGCCAACCAGTGCCTGTCACACTAGGCAGTGACCCCTGCTGCAAGAAGCCAGGAAGGCCACCAGTTCCAAGCCCGGTGCCCCAGGCTGCCTGGGCAGCTGCACGCCTTCTCCTTGCTTTTGCTCCCGCTATGGCCACTTCCAAAGGGCCCTTCTCCCATCTCCACAGCCATGCTGGCCTCATTTTTCAGGGCCCACACCAACTCTGCCCATGGTGGGAAGGAGTTTCAAAGCCTTACCTCCTCCCAGGTGGGATGACCAACTGTCTTCTTCTCTGACTACTAGTAGCACTTTACTTGGGCCTATTTTATAATTCTTATCCTGCCTTGTCCTGGAGTCATTTATACCCAGTTCTGTATCTCTTCTGGACTGAGACCTCCTCCGGGGTGTGGCCTGTGTATAATTTATCTTTGAATTATTCCTAGTACTGTCCTCAGCCTAGCACATGCTAGACTTTGGTTTGCTCATTTGTCTGTTTTCTGAGACAGGTTTCACCTTGAAGTTTAGGCTGGCCTTGAACGCATGGGGTTACCTTCCTGCCTCAGCCTCCCAAGTGATGATGGGATTACAGATGCGCACTGCCACGCCTGGCTTCATGCTAGACTTTAAATGAATGCTGAACTTATGTGAACTGAGAAGATCGTATCCTAAAAGAGGAGGACTATGGGCCGGGGATTTAGCTCAGTGGTTCCAGTTCCTGCCTCGCAATGCAAGGTCCCAAGTTCGATCCCTGG